GTGTATTCAGAACATTTGTGCGCGGGGACACAGCATAGAAAGTGATTTATGGAAAGAGCATAACAGATGAGATAGAGCATCCACAATACATGCGCTGGGTAAATGTCACCAGGCAATGATTCACTTGCTCATTTTGACCCCTAATACATCTCAAATGTGAAAAGTAACATCTGCTGTAGAGCAAGGCCGAGCAGCATCTGCAAAGCAAAGGCTTATGGCTGTGCCAAGGGGCAGAAAGTCCCTCTGGTAGCCCTCCTAAAATCTTAGATTTAGTCCTGCCTGACTCTGAGGTGTTGAAAGTGGGGTTGCCATGCTGAGCTGTGCCTGGCACGATGCTCCACCAGCACTGTTGTCAGCTCACCAAAACCCATTTGGGAACTCCACTTCCAGCACTCAAATGCGTATCTTTGAAGATAGAGGAGTTCATGTCATGCATGGATCATAACTCTGAATGCAGCTGTGTTTCCTCGGTGTGGAAATCAAAAGTAGGGTCTGTACATCGTGCTGCAGTGTGAGGTTGCATTGAATGTTAAAACCCTCTTTTCCGTTTTTCCATGTTCCTGCTCCATGTTTTTTCATGATACCACATCCTTATGTTAGCTTTCTCTTTGGGGCATGCAAATACTCTCTTTTCAATCTCCTCCAGTGTCTGAATGCCTTCAGAGCATTGGTTCTTATGCTCAACTGGTGTTTTTCAAGAAGGATCCTTCAGGTGCCTTCAAGTTGATGGCATTTCTGGAGCCAGAGTAGAGACATTCATTGTTTTTCCTAGCTACTAAAATGTGTCACAGAGCAGAGGAAAAGATATACACTAAATGATAAAAATTGTTCTCTCTGGTCCTGAGCGTGCTTCTGAACCAGGTTAGCTTATAAATGGCCAAATGGAACTGTTCAGCTTTTGACATGGCTGCCTCTCAACTGGTAGAACAAGGGGAGAAGTGAACACTGGGACTTGACTTTTAGGGGGTGTTTCTGTGCAATAGCAGCATGGAGGCAAAGATCTGTTTTAGGGAAACCAGTGTGGACAGAAGCCCTGTGCACATTAAGTCCAAGCTACAGCCCTTGAGGGAGCCTCCTCCATCCGTGCACTGCTACGTGTCCTGCCAGCTGCAGGAGTGCCTGCTGCCCCTCAGGAGAGAAGGATTTGCTTTTCTACCACACTGGTGGTTATTTGAGAGACTTTTATATGTATATCTAAACCATACAGCCTTGAATAATTTACCAATTTCCAGGGTAAGGGAAGACGTATGATGTTTCCTTCTGGCAGGCAGAGGCTGATCTTGATTCTCCTGGAAAAACACTTGTACTAACAGCTCGTGTGTCTGAGCAGAGCCAGGAGCAGCTATTGCGAGTTGATGTCACCATGTGGTAAATAGACCTGTCTTCTTCTTGTTCTACAGTGTAATGAAATCTGCCCCCGATCTGATTGCTCTATAAAGAACTGCAGTCTGTGAAGAGAAATCTGATGTCACCCTTCAGATCTATGGCAAGAGTTGCATCCCCTACCGGCAGAACCAAGTGAGCAGTAGCACAGGGCAGACTGATTTCCATTGCGTTTCTAGAAGAGGTCCCAATGGGCCTTAAATCAGGCTGAGCTGGCAACGGAGCTTAGCAAAAGCTGGAGTCTCCCTTTTGCAAGTGTTTGACATCTGAATAAAACATAGCGTAGACCAGAATCTCAGTAGTTTAGTGAGGCAGGCAGATTTTTTTCCTTATGAATTAGACAAAAACAATGCAGGTCTATCTGCTGAGTACCTGCGAGGTGTTGCTCTCACAGTGCTTCAGCTTCCTGGGCTGTGTGCGTCTCTAGGTCAGTGCTGCCCTTAGCTGGAGTGCTCTGCTGGGTGGGAAGGTGTGCTGATGGTCCCCAAAGTGCTTCTGCCTACTACTCCTCTGTATGGGGTTGATGGGTTACTCTCCAGCTTGGCTCTCCCTTTGACCCTGTGTATTTGGTGCACCTCTAAAAGCTTCTTCTTTCACTTTCCATTAAAAGCAACAGCACACAGCTCTGGGTATGTGTATATCTATCTATCTGTGTCAATAGTGTTGGGCCTGGAGCAATCAGAGCTGGGCTTGTATGTGGTGTGGTTTCTGTCATCTGCTTCTCACTTGTTCATGTTCCTCAGCTGAGTATTTCCTACCTAGGTGAGCCTGGGAGGCCTTGGGCTGCACGTGGGCTTTGAATTCCAAGGATGCCCCATGAGGGTGAATGGTGATGGCATCATACAGACGTGCCGCTCTGGGTGGTGGTGGCAGCAGTTGTGGCCCCACATATGCTTTGAGGGTTAAAATGTAGGTTTTTTCAATTTAAAAAATTATTGAAAATAATAAAAAATTATTGGAAATAGAGAGGGGCGAGTCCTGGCAATGTGATGAGAAGGACTGAAGGGCCCTTCCAGCTTCGTACCATTGTAGGTTTCAACTTTGTGTTTTCCATGAATGCAGTTTTTACACCTGGGGCCACAGGTGTTGATCCAAAACAGCATGAAACACCTGCAGGCTGAAGCAATCACTGAGCACAGCATCTCCTCCAGTGTCCTGTCCCCACTGTTCCCACACCCCAGTGCATCCCTTTCCTTGCCCCAAATCCTCACTCACTCCCCCACCTGCTGCTGGCCCAGGTAGGGTGCAGCCACTGCAAAGAAACCTTGTGAACTAATGGGAACATGTTGCTCTTATTGCCTATAACCACTTTGTTTCTAAAGCACGTGCTGCATGGATACTCCTGCTGCAAGTCTGCTTATTTATCCCAGTGTATTCAACGTTTTGAACAAAGAGGAAAAAGCAATAAAAACAAATAATAAGAACAGTAGCAATGATAGCCATTCTAAAACACTCCCAGGAAAACAACAACAACGAAAAAAGCAAGTTTCTAAATTTCTAAATTTTAAACGCAGTGTGAGATTGAACGAACTGAACTGCAAGAGCATCCATCCTCAAAGTCAGCGTGTAAACATCTCCCGGCAGAGAAGGAATTGCCTTTTTTCCAAGTGGCTGCCTTCTCGCCTTGTTCTTCTCACTGGAGAGATCATAAGGAACCTGGATGCGACGCCTGTTTTCTTGATGCTTTTGGATTTTTGGATGCTTTTTGTTGTCTTTTTTCCTTGTGTTTGGGAGTGCCAGTGGGGGAAACCAGTGCCAGGAGGATTGCCCAGGAGGAAGCAGTCCCATTGAGCGCAGTGGGGAGGAACTGAAAGCACGTATTTGCTCATGAAACTTTCTCTGATCGTTATTCTTCTGCCTCTGTTGGAGGAGGAAACTTCGGTTATGAAGAATAGTGGAGAGAAACGACCATTAATCTCATGAAAAAAAAGAAATTATTCAAATGGAGCCTTCATTTGTGACACCAACGAGCTCAAAGTAAAAGGGGAATTTAAAACATTTATGTTACTCTGTTTCCGAGACCATAAAACACAGGCAAATGGTCTGACGCTGGATGCTGAATTTCTTAAGGAACTGGCTTTAATTAATTAAGCTAGTAAACCAATTAATGGATTTGCTTGTAAATTCTTAGAAAATTAATTTGTGCCCAAGGAGTGCTTTAAATCTGTGAAGGAGGCAGAGCGTGTATTTCCTGCAGAAATTGGATTCCCATTTTAGTGAAGCCCATCCGGTGTTGACTTTGGAGATGCAAGCAGTGCGTTCCTCATGCTGGGACCTTCCTCCTGCTGCTTCTGCCTGTGCCCCCGGGGCAGCTCCAGCCTTCATCCTGCTCTGGTTCTCCATGGGCTGCAAGTGCACATGCCTTGCATGTCCTGGCCAGCTGGGTTGAGCCCCTTGAGTGTTATACAGCAGCCCGTGGGCCGTGTAGCCTGCAGCTGGGGTGCTGCAGTAGGATAAGGCACCCAGCACCTCTTGGAGCTGCTGAATAACAACCAAGCTTAAGTGGAGGAGGTTTGAACAAAAGCTAGTTTACTTTTCTGCACCAAAACCTTGTTTAGATTCCCTCCCTAGCTCGGGGTTGACAAGGGTGTCCTTGGTACCTGGTGCTCTTCGCAATCAGAACTGACAAATACATGAAAAGTTCATAATCAAATCTGTCCAGGCTGCTGAAAACATGAAATCAGAAACAAGCAGTTCCCTGAGGCTCTGGGCGATTATCGCTTCCTTTCTCCCCTGGCAGGTAAAGCCATGTTTCCTCTCTATGTAGCTCTGGTTCTGGCATCCCATTTTTGGGTGCTGCTGCTTGGTGAGGGAGAGTGGAGCTGCAGAGCAATTAGGAGTGGCAGAGTTTTGAAGAGGGAAATGACAGGGGGAAAGAATTAGCATTTGCACTGTGATGTTCTTTGCTGTTTATTAATAAACAAGCAGCTTTCGTGCCCCTGGAGGCAGAAGAGGCTTCTAGCACTCCTTACTTCCCTTGTTTTTTTTCTGCTTGCTCGTTTTGTATGTTGCAGAAGGTTTGTAATGTCTTCCCACATGTTGAGTTTCCTCATTTTCATCTGAGCATTTCTGGAATAATTCCTCTGGAGCTGTTGGCTGCGAGCTGCTGGGCTGATTTCATTACCCAGAAGCACTGGAGGGCTGCAGGATGGATAGCTGCCATGGGGGTTGTGTCAGCTGGGAGTGGGTCTGCTTCCTCCTACAGATGTGTGTGGCTTCAGGAAGGTTGTTTGCATGGAGAAAGATCTCCTGGATGTAGCTGCTGCCCCCTGAGCCCTGGGTGCTGATTACACTGACGCTGCAGTGGTCACCCCAGCTTGGCAGCGCCCCATGCAGTTCCCATGGCCATCAGACTGCTCTTCTTTCAACTGTGCTGCTGGCTAACACAAGAGGTGAACACAAGGGGTCCTGCATGGGGACTTTGGAAGCACAGAACTCAATAACTGCCCAATTAAAGTGTGCACCGAGCACCTGCTCTGCAGCAGATGACATTTCCTTGATTATAGGCAAATCCACACTGAAGGAACCTTCAGAGTGAGGCGCTGGCTCTCCCCTGTGTCACAGGAGGTGAATTAAACCCCTGCTGTATTAATGGGCCTCTCCTGCTTTCCCCTCAGGCCTCCAGCTCCTCTGGTGGAAAGATGCAACTTCTGGAAAACGAATTCTCACGGACCGTCCGGGAGCTCATCGAGCTGCACCTGCTGCACCAGGACAGCATCCCTGCCTTCCTCAGCGCCCTCACCCTGGAGCTGTTCAGCCGCCAGACCATCGCGTAGCACACAGACCTGCTGCCAGCTGCCAGCCAGGCACGGAGCACCCCAGGGCAGGGCACTGCGGTGTTCACCAGGTAGAGAGGATGAACTCTCCCCTCCCACCCTTCAGTCATGACATTGGGTTGCTTCTGTTTTGAAGGAAGGTCCTTATTCTTTCTTCTTTCACGCTGATACCCAAATCCCACTGTTTTCTGTGATATATCCCTCCTAGGTGAGGGCTGTATCCCGGGGCTTTCCTGTGCAAAGGTGGAGAACGGGTCTTGCATTCTCCACCTTTGAATTGTGAGAGGCATACATCGCTCCCAAGACCACCTCAGCACTTCTCCAGTAATTACTGGTTTGAGGAGCCAGACCTTTACCCAAAGGTTTCCCCAGATCCAGGCTCTGTAGAGATAGGTGTGGGCTTTGAGGGTGGCAGGTTCCTTCTGGATACCTCCTGCTCTTGCATACATTTCATCACTCAGTGGGATTGGGATTATTTCCAAAATATTCAGTTGCCCAAATTGGCCCCCAAGGTACCAGCAAGCATTGCTGAGCAGACATGAGTAAGAATAAATGGACTTCTGAAGATCCTACAAGTGTGTTTGACACCTCAGTGTCTGTGTTGCACTCAGATGTCAGCCTTACGGTATGTGTTCCTCACTGGGGAGACTCTTGGCCTCTTGGTTATCTCAGGAATGTGGGAGGTAGCAGGGAACCCACTGGAGGTGCTCTTGCTGCTGCTGGCTCTCACCTTGCTGGGGATGTCTTTCCTCCTGCAAGCTTTTCTTTCCTGGGTGGAGGATGGGGCACTCCTGAATGCTAACATTGTGTGTTGCAATGGTCGTACCTCTTCTATCCTAAGAATAAAGTGTCACTTCCCAAACTGGATGTACGACTCCTTTATTGGGGAGGTACACCGTGCTTCCCCTGCGCTCTGCCATGTATGAAGTGCAGTAACGAATCGTACCTCAGTGGTTCAACGCTGGTACTGCTTTGAGAAGGAAGGACATCATCACCTCAGTTTTGCCAGGCAAGTCTCATTCGTGCTGTAAACAAGATTGGTTTGTTATGAACTTCTGTGTATATTGATTCCCTCTTGATATCAGCAGGAACACGCTTCCTAAGCTTGGAGAGAACATAGCAGTAAGCAGGCCAGCGTCAGTGCTTACGGTGAGTGCAGGATTGGGCATCCGTGCTGGAGTCTGGGACCCGTCCATGTGTCTCCACGCACAGCTGCCAGGGCTGCAGGTGGGACAGCTGTGTGCTATGGGGAGCTGCAGACCCCCCGTCCCCCACCCTCCTCTCCGCGGGATTTGCAGGGAAGCGCTGCCATCAGAATGAAAGGTAACAGCAAAAGTTTGGCGTGTTCTCTTCCGCTTGAAGAAGTCCTGGTGGAAGATGGATTGCCTGGCGTGCTGTGCCAGGGGTATGCTGCCTGATTCATATGCGCAGCGTGGCGCTGAGAGTCGCCTTCCTCAGTCATGGGGAAAATGAATCATGACGTCAGCCGCGCTCGGCTCCTCCGCCAACACAATAGCAAATTCTGGCTGCCTCAGAAAATTTTTCTCCTGGCTCCTCGCAGGAGAAATGAAGTAATTAATAAGTTTACAATAAACCCTCTATCTTAGCAAAACACGGGTGAGGTGAGAAGTGATGCTGGAGAATGACAAGGGAAAAGATGTTCTTCTCGTTGGAAAGTTGCCTCCCAAGAGTGAAAGGATGATAGGTTGGGAAAAAGCAGTAGTCTTCCGAGACGCCTTCGGTGGGGAGGAGACACAGATGAATTGCCTCTCTCCACCTCTTCCCAGCAAGACTGATTTGTTCTGCTATGTTTAATAAGCCAGCACGTCTGGGAGAGAAGTGTTGCAAAGATGGGTGCTTGGCCAGATGTGCCTGCGTGGTGCCAAAGCTGGCAGTGCTTCTGGAAGCTGCTGGGACCATGGTCCTGCTCCAGCCAGCAGCATCCCTGCTCTGCTGCTGTGTAATGCTGTTGGATAGTGGGCAGCCTTGGGGACTGGGTGAAGCCAAGGCTCTAGGGAAGCTTGGCTTCTCCAAGGCTTGTTTGCAGAGCCTGGGAGCACTCTCATGGAAGCATGACCATTGCAAAGCCACCTTTGTCACCCATGGGACGTGGGTTTGTGGTCAGGTTTGGAGCGGAGAATCTGAGACTCCAGCTTCCAGCTCAAGCACTGTAGACCTGGTGGCCAAACTCTGTGCCACCATCATCGTATCGCTCCTCTCACCCATGAGTGAGCCATTAGGAATAGTTATGATGCCAGACTTCACTGTGATCACCCCTTCCACCCAGAGCTACCCTAGCTCAGCCCATTGCAGGGCTCTGCCATTCCACTCATCCCCTCACATCCCCCTGTACGTAGGGGCAAGGGAACAACTGAGGCACAGTCTGCTGCTGGTTTGCAGTTTGCAAACACTCCAGGTGCCGGGTGCATGAGTCCCATCTGTCTTCAGCTTGTCATTTGCAAAGCTCCAGCCCTCTTTGCAGAAAATCATTTTAGAAAATCTTGGGAGATCAGTAATAAATTTGCAGTCGTTTGGAGGGGAGAGGCGAGAGTGTTAACAAGTGTGTGTGTGCTTGCTGGGTCCCCGTGCACGCTTACTGGGTTTATGTGCTATAAGCTGTAAAATATGATTTATTAATGCACGGCTGAGGGACTGTGTGTGTTGGAGCACTGTCTTGTCTGCAGTGTTGCCTGAAGCTTCCCTTCACTCAAACTGCTTGTGCGTCCCTACTCTCTTACTGATCAGCCTTCTCATCTGCGTGCATTTATAAATATTGAGCAGGGGTAAAGAGCTGTCAGGCACTGCCACACAGTCCTTGAGCACAACGGAGCTCCTGGCTAAGGCACGTGTTGCCAAGCTTGTGCCTCTCCTAAGGTTGCATCAATGGACCTGGAGCTTTATGTTCCTGTGTTGTGTCTCCTGGCTCTTTGTTGTATGTATCAGCCTGAGTTGCCCTGGGAGTGGTGCCTGAGAATTGGCTTGGGAAGCCCTATTGGAATGGTCCATGGGTAGCCTGAGACATGGCTCGGGTGTTTGTAGATGTTAATAGTGGTTGAGCACAGCTCATCCCTAACTTGGCGTGGAGCCTGAGGAGCCATTTCGATTGCATTGCGGAGCCAAGGGTGGCCAACCTGGCCACTGTCTGGGCAGTCCTCGGTTCTCTATTTGCCTGAATGGAGGAGTGAGAGCTGCATCAAGTCAAGGGGATGCAGTGGGGTTTGGGGCATGGAGCATAATGGGGAGGAGCTGTGCTGCTGCTCCAGGCTCTTGGATTTGCTTCCTGCCTTCATACAAACAGCCTGACTTAAGCACCACAGGCTCTGTAAAAAGGGAATATCACGTCCTGGTCGCAGTCTCCCAGATCTGCCATCCTGAAGGCCCAGTGTTGTTGGATCCAAATGCAGCCCGGAGGTTTGTCCTGCTGGGCACAACACCCCGCAATGCCCACTTTGCTGCTGCAGCTCCATCACTCCATGCAGCTCATCCCAACACACCGAAGAAGCACAGAGCAGCAGCACAGGCTGAGGGACAGCTGGAAATGGTGTGAGTGGGGCTGATGGATGAACGCACTGGGGTGTGATTGAGGTAAGGCCGGACCCCAGCACCAGTGATGCTCAGTGTGGGGGTCAGTTCTGTTCCAGCTTCTCGCTGCTCAAAGACAGTGAGAAGAGTGTTGGTGTGAGATGACACGTGTTGATGGCTAATGATCACACGTTTGTGATGAGGCAAAGCCAGGAAGGGCAGCACAGGCTTTGCACACTGCTGTGAATCTCATCCACGCTGCCCTGCTGTGACTGCAGCGCCGGCTATAATAGCAGCGGTACTAAAAGTTGCATGATATTTAAAAGCTACAAAACGCACCCGCTCTGATCAGCGGAGGGCTATTAGGTAAGTAAATAAATAAATAAGTAATCAGCGAGGCTTTCTCATGAAGTCTGCTTTAAATATTAAAATCCCAACCTTCCCAACAGGAAAGCATTTCAGGCTGAAGAGCGACTGAACGGCATCTGATGATATCGCATTGACACAAGTGTCTAAAAAAATAGGGTGGGAGTGTATGATCTGTTCCGAAACAGGAGCCCTGGCTAATAGGAAATATGCTGATGCTACTTTTAATTTCATGACTCAGGTTTGCTGTAAAATTGATGGGAATCTGTGTTGGAGTTTGGTTACGTTCAGACGTTTCTCTGCTGCTTAGGGTTTGTCTATTTGTTGTTTCACTTGGAGGGGATTATGGTGTTGAATTGTTTTGGTACTCGGGGGGGTTCTTAGATGTTATCTGACAAGACAGCCGGAGCAGCCTTGCTTTAGAAAATCTGGCATCCAAATAAATAAAGATGGGCTGCAGAAATTTTTACGTGCACCTAAAGATCAGAGTGCCGTGCAGGCTGGGAGCACAGCAGCACTGTGGCAGGGAGCAGCCCGGGTCTGTGATCCCCATCCAGCCCAGCACCACAGCACAGCTCTGCTTCCTTCAGGCTTCCTCAGTTCTCTCTCCTTGCAATGGGATCGAGCATCTTGCGGCCCCATCTTCCCTCTGCTGTTTCCTGGCCCAGCACTGATGAGTTATTAGTGTTGCTAATTTTACCTGATGCTGCTTCCTTCTCTTTGTGACAGGTTGTGTTGTTTTGAACTCTCCGGCTGACTGATTGAGCTCTCTTTATTATTCCCTGTTTTACTTTGAATTCTGTTTGTTGGCTCTTGCTTGTTGTGTTTTGGGTTGTTTTTCTTTAATCCTCCCACTGCTTTTTTTTTTCCTCCCCGGTCCCTCTGATGCCGCTCCAAGTTGGAACAAAGCCAGAGACCATCAGGAGGTCATTGAAACACAGACGGTTGTTGGATTTAAATAAGGACTACATAATTTTATGACCATTAACAAGACTCGCTGCTCTGCAAGCTAGAATAATAAGGGCAATCATATCTCATGGTTCAAGGAGCAAGCTGATTGCCTGTAGGGACTGCAAAGGTAATTCTCCATCCCTGACTCCCCCCAAAATATCACACAATTGACCAGATGCACTGGACAGGTCAAAGGGAAAGAGGGCACAGGGCTTTGGTGGAAGGCACGAGCATTCCTGCATTACCACATCACACTCCTTATATCTACTGATCACAGACTGCCAGCATCAATATGGTGGGAAGTGTTTTCCAAGCAGGTGAAAGGCTCTGAAGGTTGGCAGAGGAATTTTTCCTGTTCCTGTGAGTGTACCTGGGTAACATTCATGCTGTACAGTTGCAGGCACTTCATTTTGGTGGTGGTGGTTGTGGTGGCTGGCTTGTGCTGTCACCACAGTCCCTGCAAAGAAGCTGCGTCCCTGAAGGGGGGATGGTTTGGGTATTAGGTGGAATATTAAGAGAAAATGCTTCCCAGACAGGGCTACGACATTTTGGAATCGACAGTTCATAGAAGTGGTGGAGTCACTGTCCCTGGTGGTGTTCGAGGAACGTGGAGATGGGGCAGTGAGGGTGCATGGTGAGGATGGGTGGGGGTTGGACTTGGTGATCTGAGAGGTTTTTACCAGCTGTAATGATTCTGTGATTCTAAAGGGAAATCAGAGCACAAACCTTGCTTGGGTCCTGAAGTCTGGCGGTGCCTCACGCTCCCCATTGGCCATGGGGTGCAGAAGGGGGACCAGCCAGCTGCACAGCGGTGGCAAATGGCCCCATCCTTCCTTCACCCCTTCTCCCCTCTGCAGCTCAGCATACACGTCCCTTCCCTCAGCTCATTCTGGGACTCACGCTGCAGCCCTTGGGGCCCTACGTGATCGCTCCCATCCCGCTGTTGGAAGCAGTGCCCTTGATTGGCATGCTCTGAAGTGACAGCTCCGCTTGCTGAGTCCCAGCAGGGAAGGAGCAGCCTTG